AGACCCTAATCCACAAAGTGGAGCTTCAGGAACCGTGGCTATATCAAGTCAAGGTATCCAAGAAGGTGGTGAGGAGCTGGTAGCAACTGGAACTTCAGGAAGAACAGTTCTGGGCTCACAGGGTACCCAACCAGAAAGCCAGGAGACAGTAGTAAGAACAGGTAAGGGTAAGGCAGTGGAACTGTCTACATCTACCAGCCTATCTCAAGCAGGAGGGACTGAAATCTGTGAGGGAGCAAGTGTTGAAAGTCAGGGTATACCCAATGGAAAAGAAGTTATGAATTTAATTGCACTAAGTTACTTCAAGGAAATTGACCCAACTAAACCAGAAGAACGAAATGGCTACATAGAATTTTTAACAGATGTGCACAAAGTGCTGCTTGTTGATACCCAGCCAGGAAGTTTGATATTAATAGTACTGTGTCCTTCACTGGAGATACTGGATGCCCTGTGGCATAGCTATTGCACAGGTCACTTGAATGACATGGCACAGAAATATCTTGTGACAAAGGACATTCTGAAGGAGTTTGACCTGACTGAGCTGAAACTGGTGACAACTATTCAGAAGGAGGATTACCTAGCTGCACGAAAGCATTTCTTGCAAGGGTTATATGAGTTGTTCTTATTCCACTAAATAGGACATTGTGTAATGGGCATCTCTTTGCCAACAATTTACAATTGCATCAGTAGAGGTTTGCATCAAAATTGTTGACCTATTTGTTATCTCGTTTTCTATGCAAGCTTACCCAATTAACCCCCCCCCTTTCCAAACAGTGATGTATCCTTAAATTCCCATTATCTTCAGCCACCAACAGGCAACCCTGAGTGGAGACAGGCAGGTCTGGATATTTAGGGCATGGTACATCAGTTAAGGGTGTATCACTTGCAACTTAAGTGAATTTGTTAATTTCTTAGTGTTTATTTCTTATCATCCTCTGCTGCTTTAAATATTTGAAATTCTACTGTTTGTTGTTATGATATATGTCAATGTATCCTTTCCATTCTCAAAGGGGATATATATTTTTTTTGTAATTTGGTACACTGAGCTGGAGTTAACCGTCTTTTTAACCATCTTTTCCTATCAAAAACAGAAAGTTTGTAAGAAGCTTTTTCTCACTTTTTCAGTTCCTAGTGAAAGTGAAGAAGCACCTGAAAGAGGAATTGCACTGGATTTCGATGACAATACCTTACAAGGTGTGGTTTAACTTAGCTGGCTTCGGTTAGTGTACTTGAAGAACATTCATTGTCTCACCCGAGTGAGAAAAAGAATTGAAAAGTTATGTAGAACAGACGTGGGTCACTTTCCTTGATTGCAGTTCAGTTGAGGAATTAAAAACCACATGTTTATACAAGTCATGTACCTGTACTTAGATTACAAAGCAACTTTTACTTAGACACAAAATTTGATCACAATGCATTATCCTTTTTATTATGCCTTATTTTTGCTGATATAACTATCAACACTATTGCAGTGAGTCACTTGTAGTCTGCAACATGCAGTTTTATTGGTATTAGCTTACCAAGTGAAAACCACAACAACAGCTTGATAGGAGCCCCACTTAAATAGACATGGGTTACAGTTTGGGAACATTCTAAATGATTTCATCTTAAACAAATAAAACAATGCATAAGATAGACTTCAATACCTATTCTAGTCATACAGTTCTGCATATCATCCCGTATAATTATAAATCTTTTGTGCCACGCCCTGTTTTTCACTCCATGATCTCTTGAGTGTGAGAAAACTGTTAACATGCGTAACTTTCTGTACATTAAATTAACTTGTGCCTGCTCATAAAAGGGGACAAAAATAAATGAGAAGTTGGAGATGAAAGCTTAAAGGATACATTTGGAGTTGTAGATGCATATTTGTTTTGTGCATTTATCTAGTTTGTAGAGTAAATGGTGCAGATTTGAATGGCAAATTAGTGGACACTTTGCTTTAACAACTTGGCTGATATTAAAATTTAAGTTCCTCTATAGAGTAATATAATTTGATGGGGAATTGAGGAAGGATAAAGTTTCTTACGAATCATTTTATAGTAGGGAATTGTTGTAAATTGTAATTTTTGCTTTCTATTTGATTGGAATTAAAGAAGTGTATTGCAAATCATTTCACAGTTATAGGTATTGTTGTTGTAATTTCTGTTTTATATTTATTTTATTTGACTTGGGGAAGGGTAAAGTTTGTTATAAATCATTGCTCATTTTGTAACAATTTAGATGTAATTTTTGCTTTCTATTTTATTGGAATTATTTAAATATTTAACAATTATAGTAAGTTTACCATACAGAAGTTGTGCACTGATATGATTTTAAAGCAAGAGTTTTTTTTTTCAAAGTCCCTTCAAAGAACACTTGACCATTTGGTTGGCAAGCATTAACCACATAGTACTATGAGCAGTTGTGTTATGTTTCATAAAAAATTAATGTTAAAAGGTTGGTAGATTGAGTTAAGGCTAATAGAGAAAGCATTTGAAATTAGAAGTAATTAACCATTTAACAACACTAAGCTTATCTGCATACAAAAGTTATGGAATATGATATGTGCTTTTAAAGGAAGAGTCTTAGCTGGTCAGGAGTAATTCTGATGATTATTTATCCTTAATTTACACTGGCCTTGTAATCTTTTAGAACCTTCAAGTTGCTCCTTTTGTGGAATTTATATGTGAATTTTTCTCCTTTGGTTTTCTGAACAGATAATGTCTTTTTGAGTCCTCACTATTCCACAGAATTGATAACAGTTATTGCCTTCATTTAGTTTGGTCACTCACAGTACATTGAAACTTATTTCATTTCATTGAGTCAGTTTATAATAGTCGTGGTGTATATGTTTATGAAACTCACCAATGCATCTAAGATCAGGAAAATACTTTGATTGTATGACTTTTATATACAGGCATAGTTTATAAATTTATACTCAATAAATATATAATTAAATTGACTTACTATTTCTAGGCTTGTTTCAGAATTGTTTTGAAACTTTTTAAAAGGGAAATTGCTTATTCCTTTGCATAAATTATTACAACTTTCTAAATTTAGATATAGTGAGTAAAGAGATAGCAGATGGACACAGTGCACAGTTGGCTTATGAAAGGGCTTTGAAAGATGGATATGTAAAAGTTTACCGTGGCCGAATCATGCTGATTGGTCAGGATCGTGCTGGTAAAACCAGTCTGAAGAAGAGTCTTTTAGGCCTTCCATTTGACCCTAAAGAACACAGTACTGAGGGGATTGAAGTGGATCCTTCAAAGTGTGAAATTGATGTTGATCAAGTTAGAAATTGGCAATCCACCAACGAGAACAAACCAGGACTGTTAGAATGTGCTAAAGATGTCGCAGAGATTGTTGCAGAGAAATTGGTAGTGCTGAGAAGAAATTTTGAAGATATTTCAGGAGAAGAAGATTCAGAAGATGGTTCAATGGAAGAATACTTTTCTGATGTAAGTTTAGAAGTTACACTCATGAAACAGAAAAATTGATGTTTAAATTTGTACTTTGAATATCTTTATACATAATTAAAGCAGTATGTATTAACAATAGCTGTGGTTACACTCACCTCCTTCCCGAGGTAACCCTATGTGTAATAACCTTGGGTTGGGATGGGTTTGGGTTTCCAGTCAGGTTTAATCGTCCGGTTACATTGCAAATAATTTCCTGAGGTCAACTTTTGACGTAGCAGGCGGGAAATTAATTCATCATGGAGATCACAGACCGCGAAACTTATGGTTTTTATTGAAGTATTCAGAGCAAAGACAAGTAAAATATACTTCATGGGAACCTCGAAAGTTGGCCATGTTTGATGCCGTGTGTCTTGAATGTTATTTGGTACTTGCGAGGTTATTTGCTGTGATTTCAGCGCAACACCACAAAAATGCCTAGCATGTGCTGCGGTTTCCGGATTTACTATTTTCTTCCATCCGACTGGTTGAATTACTCTTGTGGTTAGATAAACCACTGCTAAACCCTACGACTTGGTTCTGGAAATGTCATTCTTTTGTTCTTTGTAATGTATCCATAGCGATTTCCCATGCGCAGTTTTACTGTGGAAATAGAGGTCACACACAAAACACAGACTTTTTGTGGGTAAAGTCTCACTTTCCCGTGGCAAAACGTCTAGTGTAACCACAGCTAATAATTACAGATTTTAATACACGGGCCATTTGTAATTGTTTATTAATTCATAATTATTTAAATTTCATCAGTCAGAATTGCCTTAACAAATGCTCCAGGTGAAGGAAAAAACAAATGCACCATTATGCATCATTGAAATGAAAGGAAAAGGTGATTGGCAATAATTTGTTTTGTGCATGATGGTATAATTTACAGAATTCCCAACCTCAAATTTTCAATTATAAACTGAGTGAAGGCACAACTAGCTATAGCTATTATTGGCTATATGAGTACAAATTGAAGCTGTTTGGCAGAAGAAAGTGCTTTAATCAAAAATTTTTATTGTCACTGATGAGGTTTAAGAGAAAATTTGGGTCTCCTTTTTTTTAGGGAGAAGCTCTTAATGGGGATGTTCCTAAGTAAAGTAGCTCTTTTCTATATATGATTGTGTTGATTAATATATGATATATAAATTGATCACTCTTATGTTACTTTCTTATGTGATAATTTACTTAGGTTGAGACAGACAGTGACACAAATGGCCACTTAAATAACTCAGATATTTCCTCACCGTCAAGGAAATCAAAGGGAACCCTTTTGCTGAACAAAAGGGGTGATCATTTCCAGGAGTCCAAACATGAAAACTTACCAAATGAACCTGAGGTACAGATTGATGCTTCTTCGCCTCCAGATGACATCATAAAACATCTTAATCAGTGGCTAGAGTATGCCAGAGGTAGAGTTGATATCAACAAAGAAATTGTCCTTAGTTTAGAACTATGGGATTTTGCAGGGCAGCATATGTATTATGCCAGTCACCCTATCTTTCTATCATCTCGAGCAGTGTACATATTGGTACACAATCTTAGTAAGCCGTTAGATGCCCTAGCTGAGCCTTGCATGAGACAAGGAACAATTGATGTCAAACTGGAAAACTCTAACAATGAAACAAATATAGAGAACTTGTTGTCATGGCTGGCCACGGTTCACAGTGTTGCCCAAGCACCACAAAATGACGACATAGATGATGATTCACGACACAAACTGCCCTACCTCCACCCTCCAGTGCTCATTGTTGGCACACATGCCGACAAACCAGTTGATGACATTGCAGTGATGAAAAAACAAATCCAGGAGAGAATTTGCGGGAAGGAATATGAGAAGCATGTGGTGCGGCCTCTCTACTGCGTTGACAACACAAGACCATCTTCAAGACAGCCAGGTACAATGTTGAACTGTAGTTTGTAATTAACAATAATTAGAGATTGGGGATTTAGAATCAACATTTATTTTGGCCAGCAATCTCCTGTGAATTAAAGGTTTTGGTTTGATTCTCATAGTGTACATAGCCTGTGAGCAATTTTCTCTTCTGTGCAATCTACCTGGTGTGCCAAAAAACTTTGGGCTGGAGCCAAACTAATTCAGAGCTCTATTATGTGGGTTTTCTACTTTATATCTTTGTCAGAGACTCCAATTAACCCTCCCATTTGGCTAGACACTTCTGGTTTTTTTTTTGTTTGGAATGATAATTTTTTTCGTTTCTTTTTTTTCCTTTTATTCATAGTGTCCTCAATTTTTTTTTTCTGTATTGATTACTCATGGGAGTTAATGGGTCAAAAGAATTACTAAACATCTCAGTTGAAGGGAAGAAAAGAATAACATGCAATTAAGTGTGTAGTGAAAGTTAAGTTGCAGTATCATAACAATAAATTAAAATGAATTATTCAATCAAGCTAGCAATAATTCAGTTGTTTATTTACACAGCCTATAGTCTCAAAATTTGTATTACTGGTAATTAGGATATGTCAAATTGAAATTATGTATTTAAATAACAGGTATGCACACAGGGGGCCCATACAATCTGTTTGTGTAGCCGACTGTTGTTTTATGGTGAATGTACCAGATTTACCGTTTGTCTCACCTATATTGCTGACTATGAACATAAATCATAGATAAATAAACGTTGAATTCCTTTACCTGTGGTGTATAGTTATCCTTTTGCCTCAAAAGTGTTTTTTGAGCGATTTTGAATAAGTCTGAGTTCGTTGTAAATGTAATGTTAATGACGAACTCAGACTTATTCAAAATCACTCAAAAAAAACATTTTTGAAGTAAAGGACCACACTAATACACCACAGGTAAAGTAACTCAACGTTTATTTATCAATGATTTATGTACATAGTCAGCAATATATCACTATAGGTGAGGCATTTGGTAAATCTGGTACATTCACTACAAAACAACAGTTGGCTACACAAACAGATTGTATGGGCCCCTGTGGTATGCACTACTTTCCACAAACATTTACATGCCAGCTTTTTTGCTAGCTTCTCAGTTGCGAAGTGCCTTAACTACTTTCATGAGACAAAACAGCAAGAGATTTGTTTTGATGTGAAAAAAATTGAATCTTTTCTTGCTTTTGGAATCTGCTGGAAAGGTAGAAATTAAGGCAAAAAGGTCAACTAGATGTCAGTGGAGTAGATGCCGCTGATTCTCTTTAAGAAATGAATTGTCTCCCCCTGGCTTTTTTTTTTTTTTTTTTTAATGGTTGGCTACTTGAAAAGATCTGGAGAACACTGGGTACATTCCCTTAAGACAACTTAGCTATCTTTATAATCATGAGTAGTGTTATTGCCTGATTTTTGATGACAGTATTTGTTTGCAATTTATTTTTAAGATAATGAAATTAATGCTGATAACAGCTGTGGAGATGCAATTGAATCACTGCAAAACAGAATCATGGAAGTGTTAAGAGAGGAACCCTACATGGAAGAGAAAGTTCCTATTAGGTAAATAACAATGTGCTTGTTCATGTTTCTTACAGCGTCTGTAATTAGCTCTTCTGCCATTTATACATGAGTTAGTTTGAATTGGTTTCATTCAGTGTCAAATGCACAAACAATGAAAGTTATTCAAAAGGGAAATTTTCTGTCATGTTGGGGTGGGGGGAGAGAGAGCTCTCTTTGATGTAGTCTGTATTTTTTTCGAGGCTGATAGTTTCTAAAGAAACGGTTTGGGGCTGCGTCGGTGGGGGTAACGAAATAATTTGAATATATCAACAAAGTAGAAATGGTAAATTGGCCACCGTTACGATTATAAAAGCTTGCGTTTCGAGCGTTAGCCCTTTGTCGGACCGAATAGAGGAATTGTGGGTTGTGTGTGCTTTTTTTTCCTCTGCAATAATTTTGCATAGAAGTGTTGCTTAAGGTTGATGTTGCTTTAAGGTTCGTCAGCACCACGGGTGTCCATTTTAAATATTAATAATAAGTTCACATTTTTAGTTGAAGCTTCAAAAATGTACTTTCTTACAATGTACTTAAAATTTGAGAACTGGGAATTAGTGTGATACAGTCAGAGGTAAAACAGAAAAATTTGAGTGAAATGCAACTCTGTTAATACTAGAATTTATAATGAGCTAATTTACATAATGTAGAGATAGCTTTATATATAGTAGCTTAAGGCCACTATATATTTACTGATTAAGGTTTAGACAGTGAAGCAGGCGAATTGTTACTGGATCCACTATCTCGGTTTGCAAGTATTGCAGATTTTCAGAATCAAGACACAATCAACGTTTTTTCAATGTATTAATTAGAGTCAATTGTTTCAAACAACAAAAATGGTGTTTTCCCGGGAAACAACCAAATTACATATAAATGTATCGATCTTTCCAAATTTTACCTTAACTGTTTTAATTGTTCTTTAGGTGGTTCCTGTTTGAAAAGGTGATTGAAGCTTTGGTGGCCAAACAGATTTACTACAGAAATTTGCAACAACTCGAAGACTATGCAATGAAAGGGTGTTTCATGGAAGATTCAAATGAATTTGACTCCATGATCAGTTTCTACCTTGGCCTGGGGATGATAATCAAGCACCGCAGTACAGTTGTACTGAAGGCTCAGTGGTTGATTGATCTATTCAAGCAACTGATAACCATTCCACGTTATGACGATGTGGTGAGGAAATCCCCATAAGATAAATGTAGCTGATGGTTTTGTATTATTGCGATCAGTAATTGTGTAGATGAGTGCCCCTATAGTCATATAATTCCTCTAAATAATCAGGCATGGGATTACCTTTGTTCAGGGTTCACCTCTGGAGTTTTGATAATTCATTTTAGAGTCTCTTTGTACTCATTAAGAATGTGCATGAAGAGAAAATGAGATTCTAACATTCAATGCCTTTGAAGGATATATTTGCACAGGGTAAACATCTGGTGGCCCCTTGCAATTGCCTTATTAGTTATTTTGAAGGCTTTTTATAGTACATTGGAAGTTTTGGGAAATGATTGATTAATATCATAGTGTTGTAGGTATTGCCTAAGGCAAAATGCAAGGATTATGGCACATGATGCCCAGGGGCTACATCCACAAACCCACAACTGAGACAATGTACCCCAACACTGCCTTTGCCTTTGTAACTGACCTAGCTCTACAGCTTAATAGAATCCTTTTGCTTCAAGTGCCATACACCCTTAATCCAAAGGCATAAACCAAAGTAAAAATAATGAAATTAAAATAGATGGAAAGTCTTGAAAAAAAAATTGATTAAGGAAAGAGAAATTATTGAAAAACAGAAATGAAAAATACGTATGATACACAATCCTTCCCAGTAGATAGCGCTATTTATGCAATAGCGAAAATCAGACCTGAAAAAAATCAGGCCTGTATGGGATTCGAACTACTGACCTCTGCGATACTAGTATCGCATCATACGTATTTAATACCACAGTTCAAAATGTATGAACTTCATATATTCATTGTATCAGAAATGAAAAATGTTTGACAGTGTAGATGAAATGGTGCAATAGCAAGCATAGAAACGAACTTAAATATATTGAATTGCCAACGGTAGACACACTACCGGCCTGTCTTGCTTCAGGAAGTGAAGAGATCAAATAGTCAACGTTACACTTTTATACTGGTCAACATGGGAATGCTTGTAATATTAGCTCTTGCTTCTAAGTTGAATACAATGGAACCATTTGTTAAACTTATTTTCAGGTGATTCTTTATAGAAACTTTCTGAAGTTTGGGAAGTTTGGCCTATACATTTAAATTTCCTGGTTACACTAGCTTTTTATTTTACTATAAGTTGTATGTGTAATTAATATTTTTTCTTGTATTTAGGCTCCTATTTATTCTAAATCCTGGCGGAAACTCGAGAGAGAGGGTATTCTCAGCACAGAACTTGTGGATCATGTCTTCTCCAGGTTTATTAAAGAAAGTTTTATCAAAGAAGACATCTTAAACATGATGGAGAAATTTGGTTTGATTTCAAAGTTCACCCTCAATTCAACTGATGTGAAATACTTTGTACCAGCACAACTGAAGTCATCACCTGAAGACCTCCTTAAAATGAAACCATCACCAACAGATCCATGTCCATTGTATATCCACTTTGTGCATGGCTTTGTTCCTCATGGTCTCTTCTTGCAGCTTCTTTCGCGAGCCATTCGTTGGTGTTCTGAGACATGGCCCATGCAGGGTCCAAAGCTGTACCAGAATGGAGCTTGGTGCATTATTGGGAAACAAGCGCATGACTTGATTCTCGTTTGTAGGATGAGTTTCATCAAGATCACTGTGAGACAGAGAGAGAAACATTTTCAAAAGGCCTCAGTGGAAAAACAGCAAGAAGTGGCCACACTTGTGCGTGAGTTTGTGGAACAAACTTTACAGCAATTGCCACAAGAGCTGCCATACCTTATTGGAATGCAGTACGAGATGTGTGTGGCATGTCCCTATTGTCATCCAGAGTCAGAAGAGGATAGCCAGGAGTGTGCAATCCATGGAAAAGTCTCCTGCACAGATGAGGATTGCTTTCACCTACTCAAGATAGAAGAAGACCCAGCATTGATTTGTTTAAAGAAAGTTTGCTTTGAAGAACATACTGTCCTTGGAATGGAGAGGTGGTTTATGGAGGGAGAAAGCCAGGTACAATTTAACGTACAAAGTTGGTGATAATTATCATGGTTTGGTTATAGTATTTAAAATTTTAACAATTTTTCAGTTACTGTAGTTCAAATAATGAAGAAAACTTAAGTTTCCCTTGTAAATTTGTGCCTGGAATTACAAGATCTAAGGAGGTGGGTAGGAATTCCATCAGACAAAGATGGCATGTTCAGTTACACCTTGACAGGAAACCTAAATCTGGGCATGACTTAAGCTTCATTTGACATCTAAAGATGAAATTTAGAAATGACTGTGAAATTGTAGCGAGGAGTGATAAGTTTTCTTCTAATCAAGGTGGATCTCCAAATCAGAATAATGGGGTTTTCCCTTTTGTTAATTCAGTCTGCAACCCAAAAAGGTACCTCCTCAGGTAAGGAAATCAAGGTCTTGTCTTGTGAAAACAATAAGTGAGACCAATTTCTTTGAAATGGACCCAATATAAGTAAGCAGGATTCGTACTGGTCCTGGAAAACCTGGAACGTTATGGAACTTTATTTTGACATTTTCCAGGACTGGAAAGTCGTGGAAAAAGACTACAGGTTCTGAATAGTCCTGGATATTTGTTAAAAAC